GAAGTGAACGAGCTTGGTGAAGGCATAGGTTTCGAGGATTGGAGGATTGAACTTTTGGAGAACGTCAACACGATGACAGGGCTCATCCCTGAGGACTTTCGGCATCCAGGTTCACAAAAGACGTAATGTAACCCAAACAACTGTACACGGGACAATATTATTACAGCAAGAGCCATTGAGTGCACATTGAAGTTTGTTCATCTAAATTGGAGATGTGTGTTGGCAACTGTGGGAATAAAGAACACCACATAAATGATTCATGATTCAAAATCTTGATATAAATATAAAAACGAGAGAAAAACATAAAACCGGCATTGTACTTTCTAAAACATGGGATGGTCGAATGAGATGCGGAGAATGGAGAGGATGATTCCGGGTGCTATTTGGTTGAGCGCCTCTTATCCTCGTGCAGTCAACTCCGCCAGGCGCGTCTGTGGGGGATTATGACTTCTGTTACCCCACGCTGGCGTGTGTCTCGTTCTGAAGAGACGCCCGTGGCTGGACCTTCTCGCTTACCGGATGCGGAACCTCATGTCTCAGATTCAGCCCAGTCCACAGACGCTGAATTTCCAACGCCAAAACTAGCCACACTTTCTCTCGCGCAGAACGCGACCAACTCGTCTGTCGGACATGCACTGAAGCTACGAGAGCTTTTAGATCGTATGCCCAAGGAGAAAGAAGACTCTGACTCTGCCGCTACTACTCCAGTTGTCCGGAAGCCAGCAGTGCCACTGTCCGATGTAGAATCTGACCTCGAGTTTCCCAACATCACCGTAGGAGAACCTAGTCATGCTCAGGAGAGTCTCAAGGACCTCTTCTCGCGTATCTGGACACAGCCTGGGAATACTCCAGAAAAGCGAACCCCGGGAAGGCCACGAAGGAACAGCGTTGATGTGAGCGAGGTAGAATCTAGTCCTAGAGTTCAGAGGGAACGTTCCGCGAACAAGGGTCACCGAAAAAGCATGAGCGATGAGGAGACAGAAAAACAGGGCTCCAACAATCGTGATGACGGCTCAGAGGTTTCGTTCACAGTCTTCCAAAGCTGCCACTTTCGACCTTCTTCGCCAACGTCTCAACGATTCTCAGACCAACATCCTCAACCAAGCACCGCCAACTCTTAACAACATCTGTGCGTTACCTGATATATCCTCTTCTCAGTCTGACAACAACACCCAGATTCAACGATTGACAATGATACGGACAACGACACAGAGACCTTCTTTCGTGGAATCAGCGAATCTGGGCAGTATCCAGCCACCAGTACTCCACAAGATGGGCATTCTCTACGATTATCTACCAATTCAGAGGATCCTTTCCAGAGTCGTAAGTCTCCCAGCTATCTGAAATCTGTCCACTATTATATTCGCTGTACTTAGGACTACTCGATTACAACAATTCAACTATGCAGCGAGACATGGATCGTTTCGATAGTCCTGATGTTTCACGCATCTCACGTGAGCATTTAATACTTTGCCTTCCCAAGCAACACTAACTAATTTTTTTCTAGCATCTCTGCCACCTTCCGAAACTGTCCGAGGAAACCCGACTACTCCTCGATTGCGGACAAATTCCGCTGCATCGTCCTTTGCGAGACCTACTGAGGCGTCAAGACGGCATAGCACTGGTCTACAACATTCCTGTAAGCTGAGATGTTTCATATTTATGCCACTGATACTAATATATACATAGCTTCTCGTTCGAACCTGAAAGCCAGTACGACAAAAGACGCCAAAGTCCCTGCCTCTCCGCGTGCTCCTAAGCCTCTTCCAAAATCTCCAGCCGCACACAGACATTCGTATCATGAGCTCCTTGGACGCAAAGCAAGCACCTCATCACTTCGGAGTGATGCCTCCACCAATTCTTTGGCTTCTTCTGTCGCAAGTCGGAGTCCCAGGCAAAGTCCAACGTCTCCTCGACGAGTCCGAACATTGAGCACCCCTGCGCGTCCGTCAGAGCCTCAACTTCGTGCTAGCAGTTCGAAACCCAATAGTCAGAAGGGTTCTGTGTCTTCTCACCCTCGCTCTCCTCCGAATGACGAGGAACGCGACAGTAATGGCAGTTCACGGCCTGTTCGTCAGGGGGGACATTCTCCTAGTCCTGCTTTTAATCGTTCTCAAAGCATGCAATCTTCGATGCAGTTGACTCAACCTATTGCGAGACAGAGACATAATTCAACTTCTTCTTTGGCTTCTTCCATTTCTTCTCATTCTCATGACGATAGTGAAGAGGAGGAGGAAGAGGTCCATGAACGAGAGCGTAATTGGAACAATCCCCATCCTAAATGGACCCATCACTCTCCTCGAGCCCCTTCACCGCTTCCCCGAAGCAGGCCGTCGTCACCCTTGCCTATGTCTTTGCCTTCTGCCACACCAGCCAAATCAACTCTTTCTCATCCTACTGAGCGTACCAGGCATGATAGTTTAATTGTACCCGGCAGCCCGTCTGTTTCAAGCTCGTCAAGAACAGCGCGACGATCACCTTCCCCTCAGCCGGGTACATCAAGATTACCTCGCGCTAACAACACAAAGGGTCAGTCGCCCAAATCGCCTAATGTGACTCCGCATCTGGGCAAACGTGCCAATCAAACCGTAGATTCTTCGCGTACTATTGACCTCAGCACTATCTCACCGGAGCGGCCGAAGATGAGTAGACCTACTTCATTGCACGGCAGCCACCTCCCAATGCGAGCGTCTACTGTAACACACCCGCCTCCTCATCCCGCGGGTGCCTCCAGGTCGCCTAATAGTCACTCGCGGTCACAGTCCGTGCCTTCTATTGTAGTAGATGAACATGCTAGTGGGACAGATGATCTTTTCACGACCAGTGAGGGGTTTTTCTTACCGCTCGAGGCTTGAGCTTTACTGATGATAAACTAGGTGATGCTGCAACGCCTCCCTCCATTCAAAGGGTGCTACCTCTTTCTCCATCGCCTTCCACAGATGCGGATGAGCCCGATTCAGCCCCGCCTATTCTACGCCGATCCACAACACCTGATATTTCATTAAAACACACCAGGGAAACTTCAGATGAGTCCAGGTTACAAAGGTCCTTGCGTTCTCCACCTTCTCCCCCGCCATCTCCTCCCACAGAAACTCGTAACGGTTCCAATTCTTCTATTCTAGTCACGCCGCCCAGAAAAACGGCTTTATCTTCCCCGCCGCATCTAGAGTACAAAACTCCTTCGCCTCCAAAAAATCTCCCCGAGTTACCTGGACCACCTTCTTCTGACGATGACACTGGCCCTTTGCCTCCCTCACCAACATTCCGGACCCCAGCACGAGCTCTCTTGAGTGGTAATCAGTCAACATTCAAGACACCAGCTCCTCCTGGGGCTTGGTCGGCGACACCTCTCCCGAGTTTGAAGGACAAACTTATTCCTCATCAAGAAATAGAGCCAGACCCTTCTCAGCGGTCTCCCGGATTTTCTGGAGAGCAAAACTTCTCTTTCCCCAACTATCCGAAGACTCCCAAGCCGCCTGGTGGTTGGCAAGACACTCCCGCTATACCACCAAGGACTCTGAATATGCCTATGCTCGAAGATGATGATTCTGCTGTCGATAGTGGTTTAGCTACCCCAGCCCCTTCATTAGGTCGGTCTAGTGGACTCCCTTTCGCTACCCCGGCACCACCCGGTGCTTATGCCGTAACTCCTACTCCCCGGAAGAGCATTCTGAAGGTGCGATTTGAAGAAGAAGCCCCGACTTCCGACCCGGCTTCAACAGATGCTGAGGAGGGTAAACAGGAGCTTGATTCATTCCCTTCCTTCTCGTTACCTAGTCCGACTTCGCCTTCAAGAGGTCATAAACGAGCAACTAGCGTCAGACTTTTAGATTCCTCTGGGCAATCTAAGGTGGATGACGATGTACCCTCTCAGCCGCAGAGGCCCCAATCTCACAAGCGTAACGTGACAACCGTGCGAATTGTGGATTCGATGGGGAGGGAAATTGAGCCTTCCCCTTTGCTTGATCTGTCAGTTGTGAAGGATGAAGCTGAAAATTCTGTCGAACTGTCCAGCGAGGAATCCATCGCGCTTACTCGAGATGAAGCGCTCGCTCGTGTAAAGCGAGGCTTGTCCGATCTTACTGTAGGATTGCAAGAATTAGAAGGGTGAGTTGGAATTCGTATCGTTGAAATTGTGTCAGTATTAACCTCGGATGTAGAACCCACTCTTTCTCTAGCGATGATCCACAGCTTCGTAAGTTGAAGGACATATCTGAAACTGCCCGTCAAGCCCAGGATGGACTCAAAGCCACCCTCTCGACCAAGAACAACGGAAAATTATCTTCTCTGAAGAGGAAACTTTCAGTTCGTTTGCTAGCCGTTAACCCCTTCACCTACCTCATATTTTTATTAGAATGTCCTATGGCCTGGCTCATCAAGGTCAGCTTTGGTTATCGCTTCTGTTTTCCACGTCATCCTCTTCTACTTTCTTCTGCGGTTAGTTTTTTCCTCATTTTCCTTTCATTCCGGCCTCCCTCAACTTTTTTCCCCGCAGCCTTTTAACAACTTCTGCCCATAAATATTTCCTCACGACATATTATGACCCGTTCTATCCGGACATCCACATGTATACATCAATTCCAACTCCTCAAAGACAAACACCTTTATTCCGTGCTGCGCTTATAGGCGGTGATTGGAAGACTATGGCGGGAAGCTTTTGGGAAACACTTGCTTTGACCTTCCTTCATTACCAGCAGGATATGTGGGAGCGTTGGGGACATAATTCTGCTCAAAACATGCTATGGCCACCTGAATGATCGTTGATGTTTTTTTTTGGATATATTCTTTATGTTTTGTTAGGTACTATGGCGTTTTCACCATTTGACTCTTATTTTCCCATATGCATCGATCTATGTTTTCCCTACATTCATCTACTTACATGATTTACAAAATCATTTGTTGTACCATAGATGATTGGTTTACCTCGTTTATGAATGGCTGAACATAATCACTATGTAAGCTAATTTCGTGACTTTAACTGAGCCAGGGAACAAAAAATGCGTCACCTGTGCGATTCGAACACACGCGGGCAAAGCCCAACCGCTTATCTAAGTCTACCGGTAAAGTAGCAGGCGATCCCGTTAACCACTCCGGCAAAGTGACGTTAATAGTTGTGAACGAATTGTCGCTTCCAAGTAGACATGTATCACCTCAACACCCTAGTTGATTCTACTTCAGTGCGTACAAGTTTTCCGTATACAGTAGCTATATTCAATACCATCAATAATGCATTATATTATAGGGAAGTTAATAGTAGAAAAAGGTGTGATTCTAAACTGCTTGCAATGCCGCTGGGTCTGAAGCGCCCAAAGGGTTCTACACTTATGAACCTCCATCTACTCCACGCCCTGAAGGCTCAGACATTGACCTTTCGCAGAACCGCCACACTTGTCCATTATCTCGTTAGCCAAATGCTCAGCATGACTTCTCCCAGGTATATTTGCCTATCAACCATACCCCGATCTCCGTCCACGGGATTACGATATCGTCCCCCATTTTTTCAACACTTGAGCCTTCATCCTCTCTACATTCCAGCTCTGCTATCATGCAGCACGAGCCTCGTTTTGCCTCGCGGTCCGACCCCTTAGACATTGCCATTCGGAGTTTGACCGGATACAAGCAGAGACCTTATACTTTTCATTCGGTGAGTTCCTAATTAAGACAAAGACCACCCCCAAAACGGGGAAGGTTTAAATGGTCTTGTCCATCGAAGTATAATGTCTGCCTAAGCCCTTATATCGCGTGGGTCATAGCACAACGTGCTTGTGTATTAACTTCCCTTTCGCCCCGTTTCGCTCCTTCTCGCATCCCCTACCCTCCAAATCCCAATCACGATGGGTTCCGTCAACATAGCCTTCATCGTTCTCTCAATAGTGGTCGTTATCATGGTTCTTTCCGCAGTTCCTAGGAGAGGCAAACGTACATTGAGACTTTGTCGCAAAGATCTTCCCGCGCTGATGACACCTTTGATAGGCTTGAACATGGCACACTATAGTTTCGCTGGCTGGACCTTCACCACACTCCTTCTTTACACCGTAAATGGTATTCGATGGAGGGAAAATACGTTGAATAGTAGCCCTCGATACTGCGATTTTTGTGGGTGCTTATATCATCGCCTTGATACTTCCGCTAATGTGACTACAGCGAGTATGATATTTGTTATGTATGCTATGGCTGTCCCAGCTACTGCGTTGACTCTCTCGCATCGCTTGTTCTGCAGACTGCAGAACAAGGAAGATAAGGGGATCATCACTGTCAGTGGCTCTAATTGCTGCGCCCCGTCGACGCTTATTCCTAACGGTTGCATAGGACATCTACGCTGTAGCCACAGATATTAGCTTCTGTGTTGGTTTACCTCTTTTGCATATGGCTGCTCGTGCGTGGTATTTGATTGCTCGATTTCCCTCGTGCTCCAACTTTGCCCTGTAGGTTTCATTTTCCATGGCAAGAGCCGGTACACTATCTACGGAGACTATGGGTGCACCCAAGACGTCTTCAAGAGCGCAGCTTCCCAGTCCCTTGTTTATATTCCTCTCATGACCGTTTCCATCATCGCCTTTGGTTACCTCGTCGCCTCAGTCATGCTGTGGAATCGTATGAACCATGGATTCGATAAATGTCACTACGCAACTGAGCCCAGCCAGAAACAATCCGTCACTCCATCGTGTTTCTACCGTCATTCCCTGCTTTCCGCAATTTTCTCATTGATAACGTTCACCTTCGGTCTGTGGCAAATGATTATGAATCTTGCGTTCGGCCCGGTTTTCTATGGGATCAACGAGGCGACGGAGACCGATGCGATTCACAATATCTTCAGCGATATCACTTTCATGCCTGCGGACCATTGGCAGAAGGACGTTATGAGATCATCGACCATCGAGTACTCGAGGTGGATTGTCATTGCATTCGGCTTGGTGTTCTTCTTCATGTTCGGACCTGTCTTTTCTACGGAATGCCAGCAAGCTTATGTTGTGGGGATCACGACGATCATCGAAAAGTCGAAAGGACTTTTCAAGAAGCCGGTAGTACAGTAAGCTCGTTTTCTTTCTTTCTCAACTCGATAGCTAACCGACGGTTTAGACCAAGAAACTTTAAACTTGCTTTCGGGTTTCCCGAGGTCTTCCGTCACCAATCGACACAAGAGAAGGTGGGAGATTCTACTGCGCTTAGTGCTACTGCGTTCAGCATGGACACGACTGCAAGCCACAGAGATGCTCTTTCTGGACTTCCGGTCTGGATTGACCCCTCTGCATTCCCCACCAAACCTGCATTTGCCTATCCCGCGTCATTCCGCTGCAACCATGACATCCGAAACACTTGTTTCTCGTTCCTCTCCGAATGGCGAGCCAGACGTCCCGAGCGACGTTCTCTTCCAAACACGAGAGCATCGTCATCGCCCCTAGTGCTTCTGTTTACGACTACTCTCGAAATACCGTCCTGTCTTCTAAGTACCCTGCTTCTCGCGGCAAGACCCGCTCGACAGTGACCGTTCCAGATACCCCATCTGTGTATAGCTTCCAATCCGCGCCGAGGAGCAGCTCCCACGTACATGGATCTCATCTTACCAACGTCATTGAGTTCCCCGATGCCACAATTCAAGCCTGTTGTGACGAGTGGATCGGGAGCTGAAAAGAGGTTCTCCCCCAAGGTCCCAGAGCATGGATCATTCCTCTTCATGGAGCCTCAAACGCCTTCTCCCAATGGCAATCACAAATGGCATCATGGATCTCAAGCTGTTTAGATTTTTCGTATTTTCAACCCTGTTCCTCAATGCCGTCTTACTTCACGCCTTTTCCTTTGGGTCTCATTCTTCCTACGGGATGTTTTTTTTTTTCACGTACTTGAAGACCTTTGTCGTTCCTTTTCACGCTGTTTCACGTTTTACTCCATTTTGCTGTCTTACTAGCTCAACCACCTGTATCTCTAGTCTCTCTCCACACTCTCCATCTGTTACCTTACTCAAAATCCCCTTTACTAGTGTTTCCCAAGCTGTATCCGTAGTGCTTGACCGTAGAAATTTAAAGTTCCAATTCAGACGAACAGAAAATGACAATGCCCAATTTTTTTCCGATATATGGTATCATCGTTTGTGAACACCAATGAATACATTTAGCCAACCGTCTGCGCCTGCCATGGTTGCACTAAGCCAAGCTATTTCTGAATCGAGAGGGGTTAATATACCCTGGATGATTGGGTATGCTAATGGGTTAGGCTTTGTCCTGGACGTAGCAGGAAGGGATGGGAAGAGCAGCGGTATACGAGCGGTTAAAAAATTGTCTAATGTATGGGGGGAGCCTGGAGGACATGGTGGGTGAGTCGTGGAAGTGGAGGATATTTAGTTAGGAATAGCTAACCATCTTCGAGATTTGGTGGAGCCAGGTCTTGAAGCACAGGGCCTTCGGGAAGATAAATGCGAACGGGGACGCTACGCACATTGTATGCGCCTTCTCGATCGGTTGTAGAAGGACCCGCAGGATCTGTTGAAGGAGGTCTGTTCACCATGGATGTTGAGGACTGCGGAGGAACTGGGGATTGGGAACGCGTAGGTGTTGTGTAAGGTGTTACTTTGGATGCAACACGCCAGTATTCCTCGAAGTTGTCTGAGTTAGAGTCAGGATTTAATGAAAGAATAGGGTAAATGCAGTAAACATACGTTCTTTAATCCCCTCCCATAAGGCATCTTGGTCTTGCTTGCGCAAGCCGGTCATTCGTTTTGTGTTTCCCCATCGCAAGAAGTCAGCTTCTTTGAGCTGTCCCATGAAAGATGACTTGCATGCTTCCTCGCTCGGAGACATGAGCAGCTTCTCATTTGGCGGTGACGCGAGATGCAAGGTAAGCTTCAACGGGGCTTGAACTTGGGATGGCTGTGGACGGAGAGAAGACCAGATAAGGTGGTTATCATAGATCACACCGAGCGGCCAGTGCCTACAGCACAACTTGTGAGTGAGATACTCAAGAATATATTGTGAGGAAAAGAGCAACCAACCATTTGAGAGGACTGCCATCTTCTGAGGAAAACCACCAGTCATTCGGCTTCATTGCTTGAGCTGATGATTCGTGGAAGACGACGTCCATGAAAAAGTTGCGGACTTCAGGCATAATTAAGGGGAAGGTAGCTAACACGAGGTGCCTGGATGAAGTAGCATTCTAGCCCGCGTTCCGAATCTGCGGGGAGCTCTGAGGCTTCAATTCGTATTTCGAGGGGAACTGTGCCTTCCCATGTGAGTCGACGAAAGAGTGTTGTGTGATAGTCGACAAGGCCACGGTCTTTCGCAGGTCGAGTCGTTCCGTACTGGCTCATGGAGGAGAGATGCAAGTGGACCAGTTTGATCGAAGCAACTGTCTTTTGTATCACACCAACAGCTATCTCCCAGCCTTACTTTGCAGGTCACTCAAAAGTCTCCGAGTACACGACTATCTAACTGTAGAGTTTATTCATCTTTATATTTTCTTTCTATTGCTTAATTTACCTTGACGCTGCCATTGCGACTTAAACACGGTAACATATTCCGAGGCCGTCACAAACCTAGCAAGCGACAAGATTTCCGCCCAGTCTCCTTCTTGACATACAGCAAGGTTAAATAACTGATGAATCACTATTCGCCGTGTTGAACATTACAAAAGTTGCTCTCGCTCAATTGTCCTCTCACCTGTCGACAAGTTATATGTCCATTCGTTGTATACTTCTGTGCACTTGGATCTCTATATAGATTTCCATAAGCCACTACTGCTCTAATCACCTTTTTTTACAATCGTGAATCCATATTACCACACGATTTTGTGTTTGTACGAGATCACTCTTGACTCTCCTTCATTCGAGCCTGCAAACATGCTAGGATCCATTATACCGCAAGTTGTCAAGCCAAAAAGTGTGCATGAAGGTAGATGACGCGTATTAATCACGCGTTTGAATGCAGGTTAGTGAATAGCAAAGATGTTCAACGTCGGGGCCTTCAACTGGGGCGAATGGAAACTCATGTGCTACGTAATTTCGTAATCGGGAAATTTTCAAAGCGTCTTAGGAGTACATAAAAATTATATTACGTTCCACAACGTGAAAGTTATAAGAGTCCGGCTTGACCTCAGTCTAACAAAGTGAGAAG